AGGGCTGCCTTCTCTATGCTGGGGGAATAAGTGAATGGACAGCAGGGACTCCATCCACAGGTTGATGGTCACCAAGCTCATAGGAAAGCAAAGAAAAATAGGCACATAAATAGATACAAGACAAAGCAACATATTGTAATAACACAAGAACCCTAGAGGAAAGAAGTCTTATTTCCAATAGAAATATATAGGGACAAATTCATTTCTTTACTCACTCTTTCAACAAACATTGGAGTGCCTATAATACACTGCCTATTGAATAGTCACTCTGCTGGAGAATTGCAAAAAAAAAGGAAAAAAAAATAGAGGCAGAGGCAAACTAACTTCACTTTAGTCCGTGAGATTCTTGGAAATGTTTCCTGACATTGTATTTCTTGGGAAATAACAATGTTTTTCTGAATCCCGAATCATAAGAAAAATCAACAGAGAAATTGGGAAAATTACAATTATCTTCTGAGAAAACCCCATCATCACAGAGACTTTACTGGTTTGAAGGAATGCACTTACATTAATTGGAAGCAAGAGGAGAAAAAGCTGATAGATACATGGAGTTCCAAGGTCAAGGCCATTTCCAGAATGGGCCAGGAGGACTTGGGAGAAAGTTAGTTATGTTCTGATTAGATCAGGCTGGCATGTAGCTGTTACCACATGCTAAGTATATGTTCCTGGCCCTGTCTGATGCTAATGGAACTCAGTCTTACAAATAAAATAAACATTAATAACTCTATAAAATAGCATACTTTATAAAAATCATGTGAGTGGTGTTCAAAAAATACCAAGTTTTGAGAGCAAGTTAAGTCTTAGTTAGCAATTCCCACACACGATTCTATTACTCTTGCTAGGAGATCTGTATTTTACATTATAGTTTGAGCATCCCTAATCCCAAATTCCCAGTTCCAAAATGTTCCAACTCTGACACTTTTTGAGTGCTAATATGATGCTGCAAGTGGAAAATTCCACACCAGACCTCATGAGGTAGGTCACAGTCAAAACACAGGTGCACTAAAAATATTGCATTAAATTACCTTTAGGTTGCGTGCATAAAAAGTATATGGAAACATAGATGAATTTTGTGTTTAGGGTTCCATCCCTAAGATATCTCATTATGTTATGAAGATATTCCAAAATCTGAAAAAAATTCGAACTCTAAAACTCTTAGGGTTTCAAGCATTTCAGATGAGGGATACTAAGCCTGTTTTGAATTCTATGCACTGATGCTTTCCCAGTGGGTGAACATTTGTTAAAGGTTACATTTTCCAGGTTTCAGCTACCCTCTTGGTGGTATAGACCTTCAACTTGGGGCCAGAATACATGCTGTTTTTTTGCCTATGTTTTTCAGTTGCCAAAAATTGATCAGTTGCTGTCAATTGGTATGCACAATATGTCAGTAGGTACAGTATACTAATTGTCTAGTTAGTATATTTGTACATATTTTAACGATATATTAGACTGCCTAATAAAATTAGATTAAGATATCATATATGTGCAACTTAAAGTGAAAAGACAATTTCCACAATTCGTACAGGCAAACCTTTGTGAAGAGTTCCACTCCCTTTCTCTGAAGGGAAAAGGAGGAAGGGCACTGGTGTTCATCAGCTGGCAATTTCCATGTGTCATTAGTGACAACAATATGTGAGGTGGGGTTGTGATATTCATATAAAGATAACCCCAAATCTCAGAAATTGAACATAACAAAATCAAGTCTCAATCAGATGACAAAAGCCATCTGTGCTGCTGGTGGATGGGCCACTCCCTGCTGTGCCATCGCTTCTCCCTGTGACCACAAATTGTGCTCTAGTGATGAGGATCTTCAGGGGTCTGCATCCCAAGAAATTATTTTCTGCTCTTGTTGATGGATTCTTCAACACACCGTGGGCCTCAGGTGCTCTCCTGATTTGGGTGATGTTGTTTTTGGTGCCCGAAATGTCACCTTTTCTCATTTCCCTAATGAACTGCTCATCTAGCTCTTTGGGGACCTTTTCTTAGAAGCACTAAAAAATTTAAAAATCTGTATCCCATTTTTTTCTTCACAGTGTTATTTCTTGGACTTTAAAATATGAAGAGAAATACACACATCTTGTGAGGCAGAATAATACGAGTCATCTGCTTCTCACTCCACTTCCATTCCAGTCCCCCTTTGAAGTAACACATTTTTTTAATTGGTTGTTCAAAACATTACAAAGCTCATGACATATCATCTTTCATACACTTGATTCAAGTGGGTTATGAACTCCCATTTTTTACCCCAAATACAAGTTGCAGAATCACATCGGTTACACATCCACATTTTTACATAATACCATATTAATGACTGTTGTATTCTGCTACCTTTCCTATCCTCTACTATTCCCCCTCCCCTTCCCTCTGAAGTAACACATTTTTTGAAATAACTTTAAACTTAATACACAGAGTGACTATATTTTTATCCAGACTCACTAATTTTTAATGTTTTTCCACATTTGTTTTATCACTCTTCCTCTCTTTCTCCCTCTCTATAAAAATATTGTTTTTTGAAACATTTGGAAGGAGTTGCATAATTTATACCCCTTTGCATGTTAATAATTTAGTTGTATATTTTCTAAAACTCAGAGTATTGGTCATAATTTCTCTGTAGTCTCTTTTATTTTGGAGCAATTACTAATCTTCAGTCTTTCTGTAATATAATTGATAGATTGCAGTATGATTCAGAATTTAGGTTAAAGTGTCTGTATTATAAAATGTTTTAAATATATTAAATTGTAATATATAAATGTTATTATAAAATTATAATAAAAATATGCATATTATGTTTTATAATTTGTAACATGATTAAAATTAATAAATGTAAAAAAGCATTATAAATATATAACATATTATATGTAAATACATAATACATAATGTATAAATATTTAAAATGTATGAAATTTAATGTATTGCAAATATGTAATATATGCATGCATATATATAATACACTTATATGTGTATACTTATATACATATATATGTTTACTTATGTATGCATATTATATATGCAATATTATGACAATAGATTATAAAAAGTTGTAATTAGGAATCATGATGTAATATAAACCAGAATAAATTAAAAGGTAATAAAAGTTTAGTGTTATAAAATATTAATATAAAATTTTATATAGATTTTATATATTACTATATGTGATATATTATTAATTATCATATTTAATAGCATATTTATATTTGTGTTTTTATAGAATGATGCTGTGAGTTTGCTTTTTTCATGATTATATTCAGGTTATATATTCTTGGCTAGAATATATAATGTGTAAATGAGGCATCCTTCTGAGGGTGGTGATTTTGATTGCCTAGTGAATGTGTAATGCAATGTAACACATTATCTCCATTATGTAATTAATTCTTTTTATTTTTGTAGAGAAGTAGTCAGTGGGGAAGACGTTGAAGTCATGATAATATCTCTCATTTTAGGAAACTTTACTGCTCTAGATTTAGCATCTATTTTCAAAAATCTTTAAAATTTGTTTTTAGGTAAATATGAAAGTAGAGTATATTTTGACATATAGAATACACATGGAATATAACTTCCCATTCTGTGGTTGTACATGATGTGGATTTTTTCACATACGAACACAGGAAATATGCCAATTCATTCTACTCTTTCCTATTCCCCTCCACTCCCTTCCTTTTATTCCCCTCTGTCTAATCCAGTAGCTCAGTGGTAGAGCATTTGACTGCATCTATTGTTTTTTTTGTTTTTGTATTTTGTGATAGTAGGGATCCAATCCAGTCTAGTGCACATGCTTTGCAAGCACTCTACCACTGAACTACACCCTGCCCTATTGATATTTTTGGTATTTATGCTCTATCTAGCCTTTTCTTTTTGGTAGCAAAAATGTTATTTTCACTTCCCTTATTTCCCCCACATTCATTAGCTTTGCAGTGAAACCAGAGCTCTCCTTGTTTCCCATCCATTTGCTTGCTCTGTGTAGGCGTGCACTTCTATATGTATCCATTCTTTCATCATTTGTATATCAAACAAATGGACTCACAGGTTTCTGTTTTCTGTGTTTATAATAAATCATGGTCCTTACTTATTTTGATATTCAAATTGTCTCAGGTTTGGTCAGTGGGAGCCCCTTGTTGCTGGCTTCTGTGACCTTTTGATTTTAATTTTTTGGGTCCTTTTTTACTGCTATGAAAATATGATAGAAATTTTCTTGATTCTTTCCACCCTCATCTCAGTAATCAGCCCTTTTTCCAGGGAGCCAATGTTCTCTTGAGTGGGGACTGACTTTTGGGTGTGCCAGGAAGTTACTTTGCTACATTTTAGCCAGTGCCGTGGCAGATCTTAGAAATATGCACACTTGTGAGCACACGTGTACACACACACACACACACACACACACACAGAGATATACACACAGACTTGCATATGCATATACACACAATTGCATGAGCATATACTCTGATGGAATGATTGTTAATTCAAACTTATTCCCTTTCTTGTCCAAAATATTGATTCCTCAGCTTACTTTTTCCTTCTATTCTATAAATATATAAATATCCTCTGCTTCATTACCACTGTGGTGTCCAAAGATTAGCAATGTCACACACTCCATTACTGCTCAAAAGAATATTTATTTTGTTTTTATGGTACTAGGGATTGAACCCAGGCCTTGTATGTGCTAGGCAAGTGCTCTATCCCTGAACAACACCCCAGCCCTCTTTTTAAGATTTAAAAAAAAATAATAATACATAAATAAGCTTTGATGCTATAAATTGATCCTCTTTACAAGAGAAGTTAAAAATAAAGTTAAGCGTGAAAATCTTGCCACTTCTTTTTCTCCTTCTGTAAGCTTATTGTTAATTCTTACTGATCAGAGGTAGTTAGTCATGTCAGAATTTGAAGAATAATATGTATTCTATTTTATTATACTATACTATTTTGTTACATTATATTATTCATCTACAAACAAAGACATTTCTGTGAGATTTTTCTGACAGAATTTTCTGAGTTTTTGAATTTTTCATTGTGTTAAACTTCATAGGTGGCTGGGATTGTTGGCAGAGCTGACGTGTTAGCGTGTCTCCTGTTCCTGTTGGCGTTCCTCTCCTACAATAGGTATGTATGGCTCAGCAAGCCCTCCTCTGTGATTACAGCCATGCTGTGTGTGTAGAGGGAGCATCTGCTTGGAGAGAAGGGAGGCTTCAGGGTGGTGCTGTGCTCATGAGCTCCAGGGATAAGAACTCTCTTTTTACCCAATACTGGGCTGTTGTTTCTTCTAGCCCCATGCTGAACCATATCCTATCATTTTTAAAAGAGTACTTTCCCCCCAGTTCTAGAAATCCGAGCTCTTGCTTCTTGATTCCTTTACTGGTAGTTTCTCCTGAGAATGGAATTTGGAATCTTAGCTCTGAGCCAAAATATACTGGGCACAGTGTTCTATTCTATTTGTCTATGATTTGCTTAATTTCTCCTTTTCATTTTGGTCCTGATTGTTTCTTCTCTTTATCATCCTCACCAAAGTAGCTCAAAGCTTAAAATAACAAGGCTAAGCAGAAAGTAGTGTTTTTCAACTAGTTGTACAATTTATAATCCTTTCTTTGAAATACAGACATTCTTTGCTTTTGGAAAACAAAAAGCAATAAAATAATTTTCTGTTGAATTGTGCCTTTACTCTCCAAACCATGAGATTCTTACTTGATTTGTGACATGTCTGCATAGGGCAGGAGTTGAAAAGAGGATGTGGAAAAGGGTCGAGTGCTCAGAGAAAGCGGGTGGGTTAGTCATGTTATCTTGCTCGGTGGAGAGAGGCCTGGTTAAGGATTTGTGAACTGTGAACTTTTGATCAGTTCATTGACCTGTGATCTTTCGGAGTCCAGTGACTGAGGAACACTGTTCTAACCCAGTGGTTCTTAATTAGGAGTGATTTCTTTTCATTCCCCAACCACCATTCCCCCACTCCCTCCAGGAACATTTGGCACTATCTGGAGACAGTTTTGCTTGTCACAACCCAAGAAGTGCTTCTGGCACCTAGGGGTAGATGCCAAGAATGCTGTTAAATAAACATCCTACAATGCACAGGACAGGCCCTGCAGCAAAGAATTATCTGGTTGAAAAATGCCAATGGTGCTGAGACAGAAGAACCCTATTATAAACCAATTTAGACCTTGGATCAAGAATGAAATGAATGAAGAATGAAATGAATTAGCTTTTTTTTTTTTTTAAGGGCGGAGCATTTTTTTAGTGCAATTTCCATCTCCAGGTTCTGGCTTTGCATTCGCAATCGTATGAACAGTATAATGAAATCTTAAAAAGCCCAAATTTAACAATGAATTGTTTCCTGTTTACTCGGGTGTTAGACAGGAATTACTCACTTTAATTTAAACTTGTTTCTAGGGATTTTTGTGTGTGTTTGATACATTTGGGAAAAATGATTGATTAGCCCTGCAGCCTGTCCATATTGGTGTGATAATGAGTCTTATAGGCTGGATGTGCATGCCCTGCTTACCTTTAGAAATTTGAGCTGTAGACAGAAAATGCATAGAAAAATGCACAATTACTGTAAATTCTGCATAAATCTTATGTAATTATTCAAAGATGCAATAAGAAGAAGAAGATACCACAAGAAATTTTAGCCTTTACTTTAAAAGAATAGGATCCCAGGGTTGACAACTGTCCAAGAGAACAATGCTATTTCTTGGGGTCAATTGTATTTTGTAAGGTGCAAAGAAAGACTTTATACCACTACAGAATTTTTGAAAATTTCTATTGGAGATTTAACTGAGAAAAAATAACTTCATCTAACACATGTGGCTCATGGAAAGTAAATTTAAAATATTAATTAGCATAAAGAAAATTAAAATGTGAAGAATATTTGTTTTTCCTTTTCAGAGAAAAAAGCTACTATATTTTGATATAATTAATTGTCTACTGATTGCTTTGTGTATAGAACACCTAAAAACACTTGACTCATAATAATGTGATGATAAACACTTGACATGTAATAAGTCATTTCTTCAATGCCCCCAGTAATACTAGACTCCTATTTCACACATAAGGGAACCAAAGCACAGGGGGCAAAGTAACTTGCTCTCTCACTTCTTTGTTAACTGCAGAGCTGTGATTTGAGCCACAGACCATGGCTCCAGAGCTCATTCAGGTTGTGCAGTAACCTGTATTATTCATCTACACTGTATTCACTTAATGTCTTCTTTTCTCTCTAACTATAGCTCTATGATGACATTTTAAATGACTTTTGAAAGTTCACTTACGACATACCATATTTTATCATCATTTAAATTCATATTTACATACTATTGCCTGCCATATTTTATCCTAATTTATATGTACCATAATTTAAGTACCAAATTGAGTACCATTAACTTTTTTTCATCTTAGTAATTTTAATTCCATGATGAATACTCTGGAAGAAATCTTGACTCACTTAATTGCTTAGGATGCAAAGAAATTGACTACCTTTTATCTTTTAAGGTAATATTTCTTAATGACCCACATTTCTTAATTTAAAATAACATCCAACCTGTTTTCCAGGAGTCTGGATCAGTGTTGTGCTGGGGAATGTTTCCCTCTCACGGCTTCTCCCTTCTTCTTGCTGCTCAGTTTGTTTCTGGGGACCTGTGCAATGCTGGTGAAAGAGACGGGAATCACCGTGTTTGGAGTGTGCTTGGTTTATGACCTCTTCTCCCTCTCCCACAACCATACATGACGTAAGTCATTTTAAACTTCTGACATTAGACTGCTGCCTAGAGAGAAAATGACTAAAAAATGATGGTTTCCCAGTTCCGTTTAAAAATATATAAGTACTTTGTCTCACCTTAGACCATAATACAATAAACATGACTTACTTCATAAAGATAAATGCATTGTATCTGTTTAGCCTCTTCACAGTTTTATAAAGTTCAATAAAGACTATGCAATTTTGGGTGACCCCAAATTTGGAATTGAAAAGTATCTTTGTTAACTGCAAGTTCAGACTGCTGGGTTGTTTTTGCTGCATCCTATGGAGAAAAGCTTGATTCACACAGGGAGGTTGCAAATGCTAATAGTTTTGACAGCTTGCTTTGAATCTCTGAATTCAAATGAGTATTATCCATGGAAGAGTACTGCTCACTTGGAGCCTGTTTTCTCTCTCTAGTAGTGACAGTACTTAAGAGTTTTAGTAAGTGCCTCTTAAAATTCCATGAAGAGCGAGTTGAAACCATATAGGAATACTTAGTATCATTTTCCAGTCAAAGAACAAGCTTACCTAGTAACCCATTTTCATTTAAAAACTTTAAGGCAAATTCATTTTATTCAGTGGTTTGTAGATAATAAGAATCATTAAGGCATATTAAAACTTCAAGTACATACCATAATTTTCTTCCTCTATCAAATCTATAATTACCAACCTTACTAATTTTACACATAAACCCTAGTTTTCAGTAATCATAAGTCCCTTATTTTTGAACTTTTAAAAATGTGGCTAATTTATTCTTTTGCCTTGTCAAATGCAGAATTTTTTAAAAAGTCCTGTTTCTTTGTGCCATTCCCTATCTCTTTATACTTCTTAAGATGAAGATATGAGCAATGCTATTGAGTGGCATTGGGTTGGGGTGAGTCATTTAATTCTGATCACCTTTCTGCCTGGGAAACTTGGAGATAATTTAAATACAGTCTCACTCTCTGTTAGCTCTCTGCAATCTCAGACATATAAAAGGAAGGAACCCAGTGATCACTTTGTCCAAGCTCCCACCGAGAAAACTGGGAGCCGCAGGCCCTGCTTGACTTAGGCAAGGATGCCTTTCCTCTACCTTTATAGCTCATGGGAGTAATCTCTGTTGCCCTCCCCACATTTTGGAGAACAATCTACAGATCCCTCTTGCTTCCCACTTCTTGCATCACCTCATCTTTGTCTCCAAACTTCTTCCTGCTTTGCCTCACTGACAACATAGGGCTGTAACAACTAATCACAGATGCACCTTCTCTTGTAGGCCAGTCCAGAGCTGTTTGAATGCCCTCACTAAAGCCCTGTCTCCTCTGGTCTTGGGATTCTTCCACCCTCTGTTGACTGCCTTCCTTTCTCTCTCCCTCCTGTCATTGTTGAACCAAGCTTTTCTCAAAAAGGATAATTGTCTCTTTTCTTTCTTTAGTAATCTGCCCTCATCATACTAACTTGCTTGAGGTTCCATGGAAGGAGTAACACTGATGACACAGTTTCGATTTGTGTACACAGCACATTTTTTAGGAACTTTTAGTCCTCAAACCCAGCAGCATTATGTAATTGGAGGAATTTATTCTTTCCTTCATGCTTTTGTCCACCCATTCAACCCATAGCTTATTCTGTGCCTGAACAGGATACGGGAGCATTTGACAAGGAGACTTGGCCCTGGGTAGTTCCCGTGCCTTGAGTGCTGACTGGGCACTAGGCTCTGTGCCACACCATTTGTTCTCAGCGACTGTGGTCTTCATTTCACAGAGGAAAAAGCAGGCTCAGAAAGCACCTCCCCACAGCTACTCAACCCAAGTGCAACCAGGATTGGACCCACATCTGATGCGTGGCCCTAGAGCCATGAAATGATCTCTGAGCACCACTGCCCCTGTGGAAAGAGCACAGGACAGGGATTTAGGAGACTGCAGGATGTCCCTGCCCACGCACCATGAGATTCTTGACACCAGCTCAGAGGTTCTGAGCATTTGGAGGGTCATGAATCTGAGAATTTCATGAGGTTGTAAGAAGGCACACATGCACTGAGTTACACAGAACTTTAGGAGTCTGCCCCCTAGTTACTCTTTATATGCTCATTTAGAATAAGCATCTTGGTGCTAGGTGGTCTTTCCTTGTGTAATCCAGCAGCAGAAGGATTCATAGAAGTAAATATTGGAAGCACTTTCCTTTCAGAAGAGTAATCTATTCCTAAACCTTGGTTTGGACTACACGAATGGAGTAGGATTTCTTTTATTTGACATCACCTTTAGGAGGAAACATGTAAAGGAAAAGTTCAACTCATGAAAGTTAGCTTTTCTTTTCTTTTTTTTTTTTAAAGTGAGGGTGTAATTTCTAACATGTAGAAAATGACATTCTCTGACCTTAGTTCCTACCCTCTTTCTGCAAAGATAAACATAATTCTGAATTTGGTACTTTTTATTTCTAGGACATTATTTCTTATGTATACACAGTGAATATCAAGTCATAGTATTTTGAAACTTTTCATGAATGTTATCACTTTTGTTTTTCATTTAGCATTAGGCTTTTTAGATACATCAGTGTTGATGTCTATAGCTATATTTTATTCATTTTTACTGCTCTATAATGTTTAACTATCATAATTTAGCCATCATTCTAATTTTGTAGTTCAGGCTATCCACATTTATACTCTTATAAACTGCTGCAATGAGATTCTTGTACATGTGTTCTTGTGCAAATACACGAGGCTTTCTCTCTGGCACAACTGTTGAAGTGGAGCTGCTAGGTCAGAAGCATGTTCACTGGGTCACATCCTGAGTCATTGCTTGTGAAATGACTATAGCGGTCATGGAGAATCACCTTTGTTTCATATTCTCGGCATCATTTGCAAGCATCATATTTTTAAATTTTTGTCCATCTGGTGATTACAAATTTTATCTCAGAGGATTCGTAATAGAATATGTAATAAGAGTACATCAGATGGCCCAGCTATGAACATTATTTGATAAGATCATCATAATGTCTAATCCTGAATACCACCAAAATCAAATATTATGAGAAGACCATAGTTGGAATGTGAGGGGTAAAGAAGTGTGTGTGTCTGTGGGTGCCTTGGTGACCACCTACGGGGGACTAAGTTCTGATCTTCTAGAAACCAACATGATAAGCTGTAAAACTGATTAAAAGAAATAATAATGTAATTATGTTTTAAACATATATATATAGTGGTAACTACCAGAAGCAAAGGGCTCAGAGACTTGGGAATGGTTGCTTATAGGGAGTAGGATCTGGGGGTTGGAGCAGGGTGCTGGTGTTTTGGTTGCCAGCCTGGTCATTCCGTTTGACTTTTTTTCCCCTCCCTTCTGTGCACAATTAGGAGCAACGGGGTCATCCATCAGCATGGCCTACAGCAGCCTGGGAGCCCCCAGCCCTCCTCACTGGCAGCCCACTCCCACCGGGAGAACGGGAAGCAGCGGTTCCCTCACAAGGGAGTGTGGGGTGGCTGCCATTCCTCACTTCCACCAGCACCCAAGAGCAGTGGATTCCCGGTGTCACCGCGAGCTGTGTGGTCCCTGATGAGGTACTGGCCTGGGTTTCTTGGCTGTGCATGTTTTCAGTGTCCAGTATCTTATAGTGCCACCTGTGATGCTGGAAAATTAAAGCATTGAGTCGACTCTTTGAGATCCCCTTCTCTCCACATTTCCCTCCTTTTCCTTTCCTTCTCTCCCTTCTTCCTCCCTTCCTTCTTAGCCTATATTAGATTGGATGAGAAAGGAATAGCTAGGGGATGCAGGGTGATAACCTGTGGTCTGTGATTCCTCAGCCATCAGAAGACAGGCACCTACCTTTTTTTCTGGGGGAGGAAGGTGCTCTCCCACTACCCCCTCTCTTCCCCGCTCTTTTTGTTTGCCATGAAGTTAGTGCAGCCCAAGTATGGGAGGAAGTCCAGGGGACTCTACTCCTCTAGCATTTTAGAAGATGCAGGAAAATTGAGTATGAAATGTTTATTCTTTTTCTTTCTTTTTTTGAATATTTTAACTTAGCCATGAAAATTAGCAGTATTTTTCAGCACAGGTGTTCTCACTAAATTACATTGCTTCACAAATAGCTCAAACCATGGGCAAGTCAGAATTTAGCACACATTTGTTAAAAGATATATAGGCATTTCATAGTTTTAAAGGGTTTCTTTGAGCAGTGATTTGTGAATTGCCAGTCCAAACCACAGCTGGTCTGAGGCGCTAATGCAGGGGAATGAAGAGGAGACCTTTACAGGGCGAATACAGAAGCACAGCAGAGAAATATTTGATGGGTTAAAGTGTGGCAGCATCCTTATTTAGATCATCCAGGGGAAAGTCCCTCATTAGAGATCAGTTGATGATTTCTGATTGGTTAAGCTAGAGTTTCATGTTGACATTTCCTCTAAGTTGAGCTTTGGTTTGCTTATGTAAAGTCTAGGGTGCTAGAGCAGCCTCAGCTGATTGGTCTCCCAATTCTTTTGACATATGGAACTTCTATTCATACTGTTAACACT